TTGCACGTGTTGTGTGAATTAAGACCGGAATTCGCAATACTAATTAATGCACTAATAGGATTACTACCACCATGTAAACCAAGCAACCATATCTGTAGAATTATAACCAGTCAAATGTTTAATGCGGATTTATAGGATGTCTTATCTTTCGTTGCCATGTATAAATAGAATATTATGAAATAACTCAACTAGGAATTTCATAGACCAATTATATTCTATACATAGATGGCATGCATTTTGGTTGTCAATAGAATTAATTATTTGCCTTCCACACATCTTACCTACCAACAATACAACTATCCCTCCCCCAATATAATAAGCCCATTACAACACTTCCCTTTCCTTGTGATTTATCACGGTCTGCCGCTAATAATTAATTTAATATGATTTCTTTTCCAGACTCACCATAAATGTGTATCCCCGTTGAAACACACCCAAAAAACATCCTAACGAGATATTATCTTTGGATAAGAACTAACTAAAAATTAATTGGTATTAATTTGGGGTGAATTGTTGGCTACCGGTACCCAAGCAGAAAAATTGTGCTTTTCATTTACTCACCCCGCAAAGTCATGTCATTATGGGTCATTAGCTTTTCAATGGAATTCCAATTTTGTTGTGAGCGAAGTGAAGTGAGCCATTTTTCATCTGATGAGATATTTGGTTAGCAAAAAGTTCAATGTCCTAGTAATAGAATCCTTGGAGATAGACCATAACGTGTGCATCTTCAAATATTTAATTAAGGTGTCTGTTGAATCTTTACATTATTACATACACAAAAAGATATAATTGTCTAATGATTTATTTTTGGGCCACAAACTGTGCTAATGCCTTAAATACCTTAAGGAAAGGGAGCAAAATTCACAACGTTATGTGTGTGAATGTATGGCCTGAGAAAAAAGCACGTGCAGCTTTGACAGAAGTCATGCTATTTATATATCACTAGCTGGCCCGGTCCGCGTTGCCGGCCCGTAGTTTTTGTCTATTATGCATATATTCCCAAGCATAATTATTCACAGATATGACTGATATAAGTGTTCACGTACAGGTCGATTTAAAGTGTTTTAAAATGCCTGTACCCATTTTTAACCAGTGGGCTTCAATATTTAAACCGTGGGCTTCAACTGTGTGGATGTGCTATACAAATCTATTAAAAAGTATATCAATCTTATCGCCATATAAGGGATCAAATTAATTTTTAATATGGTAAAAATCGTAGCAAAATCTTCCAGTCAAATGAGCAGTAATTTGGAATTTGCTGTATTTTGTATACTACATAATTGAGGGCTGAATGATTTAAGAATAGCCAAAGTTAATTACTTTTTTAAACCCATTAGCAACTTAGATTGTGCATTAGAGTCCTCATAAGTCCCCCTAACCATGTCAGTCTGTTTGTCCGCCAAAAGGTGGACTTGAGAGGGTATTATAACATGGATAAAAATTCTAAAATTTGTAGATATGTTGAAATTTTAGTGTAAGATTTTCACCCCCCTAATACGCATTATTAGCCAAATTCTTTGAAATGTGGTTAAATTAGGAGGTACCTTCTTTATATGGGCACTACTCCAAAACATCGACCTACATTGAAAACTTTCTTCTACCCCTTATAATCCAAGATGACAAATAGAGGCCAAATCAAAAATATAGCAGAACAATATAGCATGTCATAGCATTTCGCGTGATTTAAATAAGTAAAAATAGTTTTATCCACCTCATAATTGAGGGCAGAATGATAAGATGGGAATTAATTTTATTTGCCATTTCAATTGTAAGTTGGAGACCCCTTAAAGTCCATATTCTCATCATAGGATAATTCAATGATGATTAAACAAATATTCGGTACCGTGCTACTTTCTTATATTTGTAATTTCTTCATGTTTCCACAATTTATTTCATATGGATGCACATCCCAAATCTACGTTCCCAACCAATATTCTCTTGGGGGTTAGAAATTCAATAGAATACAAAATTTTCTTTTCTGACCACACATTAGATGTGAAAGTGGACTTGGGGATACTCCAATGTGGGGACTTTACTTAAATAAATTCCTATGTGGCAATTATCTGTATGATGGTTCCCTACCCCAGGGTGGCATAAATAAAATTTTTTAGCCAAATCAATTGATGAATTTGGTCAATACCAATATGGGCCCTACTCTGAAAATTTCAAATTTTATGCGAAGAGGTTATCTACCCCCTTAGAAACAAAAATGTCAAATAAGGGCCAAAAAATGAAAAAAGTGGCCGGCCAAGACCCCAAAAATAACTTAAATCATAGATGGTTATATAAATATGAAATCGGGTTGTTCCCTTATCCATGAGTTATGATCGATATAAAGACCTGCAAAAGTGATTTTAGGTATTTTGAATATTTGGGAAGAATTTCTGGAAGGATATAAAACCTTTTCTTACTAAAAGTCCCATTCGCTCTAC